GTAGGGAAACAAGTTTCATCTCTCTTCACACTCATTCAGTTTTACATAACTGGTGTGATTTCTTTTTTCTCCCCCAGAATTTGTTTTTCTTTTGTAGTTTTATTTGTCTGCAACTCAATTTATATTCTACAATTTTGAAATGTTTTAGGTTGGATTACTTATGTTATTTCTTTAGAAGCTGGAGTGGTAAACCTTAATACGACTCTTGAATTTACGTAGCAACAGTAGTCCATATCTTTGGGTTGTGATCCACCAATTTCCTAAGTAATAATTAGTTCTGCCTTGGACTCTGTGTTTGTACAATAAACATTTTTGTGAGGGCTTCTTATGATACAGCTTCTGTTCACGATTTTCCAAGTCCGGTACAGTCAGATTTGAGTGTTTACACTGGGCATGTAGGAAAAGAAAAATTTTGAATTCAGACAGTTCTGTAAGTGATTTAGAGAATGACCCTGAAGTAGTCTCGACTTTTCTTGTGTGCTTTGCTTTTTATTGTTGCAAAACAAGTGGGGCCATTGCAAAACAGGCAGAGTTAAATGGTGTACTTGCAGAGAAAACTTTTTGTGATGAGAAGTAGAATTTCTTGATCTTGTTATATCTACTGCAGCACCAAACACAGTTTGGATGCAGTTTTTTAATGTGCGTACAAATTGATAGAAAAATACTTGCAGTCGTCTTCAAATTACTACTGCTAGTTATTTTCTGTTTGGTAGAGCGATCCAATTTCTGGAAGGAAGAAACAGCACCAAAAAGTAAACTGCTTATGCTGTGTTTCCACAGATATTAATTGAATTAGCCATTTTCATTAACTTGAACTGTTGTGTCATTACAATAGTTATGCATTTAGTTAGGCATTTTTGCCATGTACACGAGTATGCTCTGACTTCTCAAAATCACTGCTATTTCAAATCATTACTTGTTTAACTTGTCTTAATTCTATAAATTTGTGATCAAAAGAGCTGTGTTTTAAAAAAAAAAAAAAAAGGTGGACCTGGTAACTACCATCTTAAAAAGCATTCATAAATAAATCAGTAGGTTTCACTCTGGAGCAAAATGTGGAAATTCCACCCCCCAAATAATCCATGTTCAGCTTGGTGGTAGATATTGTTGGAATCATTGTTCCTCAGTCCAAAAAGTGGGAATGTTTCTCAAAGCCAGCAATATCAACTAATACTTCTTATTCTTGGCTTTACTAACGTGATGCCCTGTTGTCAAAGAATCAATTACGCGTTCACAATGTAGTGCTTAAGCTGTTCCTTTCTCTCTTTTTATTTCATCTGGACTCTTGCATGCTAGGAATTAAAATTCTTAGAGTCTGCTTAAAGTAAGAGATCTCCTCTAGCTAAACTTCCCTGAAATCATTTATAACATAACTTTGCAACCTGTTTGTATGTATTGTTTTCTTTTCTTCCACCTTGGCTGCAAATTCTCTCAGGTCTCCGCTGGTTCATCCGCCAAGCCATGGATGCCGCTCGACTCACAACAGCCCAATTCACACTGCTACTGGCTCACGACTTACTCAGAACTTCTCTGTGTCTGTTCCCACTCTCATCTACACTGGTACGAGACTGCTCAGACTCAAGAGCTGGGGAGAGGCAGGCCACAGGCACAGTGGTCGCAAAGTGCAGGCAGGCAGGCAGTGTAGGCAGGTACCACCCATCTTTTCTCCCTCATTTTCTCATGGAGACACCTTCTGTTGTCAGTGAAGAACTACTCTGTGCAGGTGCTGAAACAAAGGCAATAGTTTCTTGAAAATGCATCAGAGTCTCTTCCACAAAGCCACACTCTTCTTTCTTTTTGACATGCTTACTTCCTAAGAAGTTAGGTATAAATAAGTTGATGTGTCTGGGGAACATTTGCTATGTTACAGTCATTGGAGGAAATCACGTTTTGACTGAAGTTTATAATTTCTTTCAAGCATCATTCAGATATGGTGTTTAGGTTTTAAAATTATTATAGGAAGGGCATGTGCCATTTGTGGAAGAGATGGTTTTAGAGAGCAGGTAAGTCAATCTGTGCATAAGTGAACTGTTTGTCGATATAGGTATTCCCATAAAGATTCTCCTCTTTGCTCTGTTTTTAGCTGTGGCATGCTGCTGATGCTATAGGATAAGGAAACACTTTTTTTTTTTTTCCCCCTTAAAATGCATATGTGTGTGTATACATAAATGTATGAATATGTATAAACACAAATATATTTTGAAATAATTTTTTCTTTATTTAACTAACTCAAAGCATTGTGTATTTGACCAGATTTTTAAGCCATAAACTGTTTTCAGTTTTTTCTTTTGCTTATATATATTTTTTTTGTCACATCTCATGCCTTTCATTTGGCTTAATTGTTTCATTGTAGATTATCAGCATCTATCTGTAGAATGCTGAATGGGTAAAACAGCATTTCTTTGCCTCTGGCCTCATCCCCAGTCTCGCACCTAAGGAATAGCTGCTGGCCCTGCCCCAGTCCCATCCTGGTGTTTGGATCATGCTGCTGTCAGCCAGGTCCTTTAGCACAGGATTACTGAATATGTTTCCACCTTCTTCTGGCAGGATTCCCTTCAATGAAGATCCCAATCCCAATACTCATTCATCAGGACCCTCCACCCCTCTGAAAAACCAAACCTATTCCTTTTCACCTTCCAAGTCCTACAGTCGACAGTCCTCTTCTTCTGACACAGATTTGAGTTTGACACCCAAAACTGGTAAGGCGCTTCCACCCACTTTTTGTTTAATTTGTGTTTCTCTCTATATATTTTCATTCAGCCCCTTTTTGCTTTTTGGCATTTAAGTTATCAAAATGATGTGGAAATTGGAGACTTCAGATAGCACACCTCAAGCTTGAAAGGGTTTCTGTAGGGTGAAAGTTTAAATCCTGCCTACATTTCCACTATTCTGGAGAACATTAAAATGACATTTGTAACAGAACCGTACCGAAGTTGAAATAAAACATCTCAGAGCATTAAGGGAGTCCTAAGTAATTGCCTTTTTCTTATTTCCTCCATTTCATATTACAAATCATAGGAATACATTTCTCAGCACAGTATGCTAAGAACAGCATTACTAAAACTACATAGTCTTCAAGCCCAATGTGTTGTGCTTTAGATATAATGTATACATTTCTCTGTGTTTTTTAACTCTTTTTTGCGAGTGTGGTACTAGAAGCGTAGCAGCTGCTGTCTTTTTATTCTCCTTGGTATATGGAAACAGCTTTACATACACAGTATACATTTTGAAAGTAAGAAGTTTATACTCTAGCCATCTTCAAAAAGCTTTTTTCTTTCTCCATTGGTGTATTGTAATTTCTTCAACTTGTGGTTTCCTCCCTCCTTATTTTTTAATCTGTGATTGGAATCATATCAGCAACAATGTCAGCACAACTCAAAGAATTATTGTCTGTTTATTCTGCATTATGTGACCAATGCCCTGAGTTTTGCTACTGTGGGGCAAATTATTTTGCAGAATTGCATATGAAAGTTTGGTTGCTTTTCAAGTGGTGTTTTAAATTGTGGTATTTGAAGCTCATAACATTCTTGTCTCCATCTAGTCTACAGAATTTCTCAGCATATTAAAGTAGTTGATTCAGCTTTACGTGATAGCACCCCTTTCAAGAATTTTTCCAAGGAGAGAAGTTAATGTTACATTCAAATGCAGTTGTAGTAAATATTTTACCCAGTTTATTCCCTAGATTTCTGTTAAAAATGTTCCCAATTAGGAAGCTGTCTTGCTTAATACTGTCTTCTCTGTTCCATTTTTTAAAAAAACAATCAAAAGTGCACACTTTTTTGTCCTTTTGTTTAAATGATGACTGTTTTGTTGATAACCTATGGTGGTCAGTTGTTTGAAGGACCTACAAGTATAACTGGATGCTTACTACGCAGGCAAACCACAAATTCGTGTGTTTGGTTTACTGAATATTTGAGAACCTATTTCTTTTGATCAAATTTTCCATGGTAAGGATCATGTGGTGTAAAGAATTTAAATGCAGCATAGATCGTCACCTTTATAGATGTAAATGTTCTGAATTTGTGAAGGTGGCGGCTCACTGTGAATTTATTAGTTTTTTTTAAAGCAGCAACCATACCTCATTCCTGGCAATGTTCTGTAGGTGGATGGACCCTCTCATCTTCATTCAGTTCATTTAGAACTGAAACAGATTGTGTAATTTTTACCTTATTTTTAGCAGTTTTGGAGGTATATAAAGATATTTTTAAGCATTCATTTTAGTATCAAAGCTAACAGTGGGCGTATTTTTGCTTACTAACACTGTCTTTTTAGCAGCTTTGAACACCGCTGAAACATGTCTTAAGATGATTTGCTGGTTGCATTTAAAAATTCTGTATCCTGATGTTACGTACTAGATTTTGAATCTTAATAGCTTAAAAGAACAGTATCTCTTGAGTCGTTTTGTTTTACGTTTTTACCAAAAATGTGGTGATGTGTGGAAGATAGTTCCACAATGTACTAAATTCAGTATGTTGCTTTTAGCGATTCACTGTATATGTTCAGACCTCTGTTTTCATTTCGCAAGACTGTTAAATTGGAATGTTTCCATGTGAAAGTTGGTGATGCTAGTGTTTTAGAAAAATGCAAACATCTCATGCAACATATTAAACATTATCAGAATTCAGATACCTATTACTCAGATTGGCTAATACGAAAAATGAAGTCTTTTTTGATGTTTGTGCAGTACATTATAGTCCTCTTTATTTCTCAGTCAGATAGCTAGTGTGTTCACGTGTGTGAGATGGAGACTAACCTGGAAAAAGAGTGCAGATACCACAATTTCACAATATGAACAACTAAATAGAGGAGATTGAAACTTGGATCTGCTTAAGCATCGGATTTTTGGTAGCTCTAAATCAGGAGAATATTACCTTGATGTCTTTTAATAAAATACAATTGTTCTTGTGTTATCCATTCTGATCTATAGCTGGTTGTAATATGAGGGGAAGCTGTTCTGTGCTGAGCAAGCTTGTTTTGGTTTGAAGTTACGCTTCTTCTGTCAATAGTCATATTTTATGCCAATGCAAACAGAATATCAGGCTGACAAAAAGCACGACATATTTTAATGAGGTAATACTTTTTGATGTGACAGAGTATATGTTTGGAGGAAATTGAGAAGGTGGGAGCTCCTTTGCTTTGTGGGGACTTAGAATTCTGCAGGATTTATGACCAAAAATCATCAAACAAATCCATGACTTCTCTCAAAATAACTTTTTGTACCTAAAAAATGGAAGTAGATTAAGTCTGTGAGAAGACTACATTATTTAGCTATTACTCCATAGTATTTGTTATGAAATTTTGTATAAAACTTTAAATAATTGTTAGATTACCATGGCTTTCAAAAAATTGATTTCAAAATAAAGTTCATCAGGTCATGATTTTTGAGAACATGCTTCTCGTTCACATTGTGGAGCTGTATTGTCATTCCATTTCTTTGTATGTTGAGAAATGATGTACCAATAAGTGCTGGTTCATTTGGAGAGAAAAAAAAAAAGCTTCATTTTGATTTCTTCCGTCTGTTTCTTTAGTCATCTTCTGAATCTACATCTGTTTGTCTCTATTACTTTCCTCCACAGCACCTTCCCCCCAGGGACCTAGGATTTTCCTGTTTCCCAGCTCCCCTACACTCTCTTGTGATTCCCCACATCTTAAAAAGTCCTGTCTCCTCCTCTCGGGGTCTAGCCTTAACCCCCTACACTCTAGCCATGTCAGCCCAGTTGTTCTGAGGAAAAGTGTTTCTTTCTCTGAAGAGCTGCTTCTGGCTGCTTCTGGTAGGATCAATCTATTATGGCCTTTTAAACAAACTTTTAAGAAAATGTTGTTGTTACTTGGTATGGGGGCATTTAACACACAACCTTCTATAACCCTATGGTTTTGTTCAGTTAGCCTCTGAAAACTGCTGGCTACATGACTATTCATACCATCTCTCACCTCTGCCCCAGAAGCTTGAAACAGCTTCAGAACTTCTTACAGGATTGGAAACACACGTAGTTTATGCTACAGGACTTTCTCCTTTTCCCTTGCAAAATTTCATTTGGTAAATGGACTGAAATAATTTACTTTTTTTTAATCCCCCTCATTCCCTTCACTTTGTTGTTCCTATATTTTGCATGGAACAAGCACTTGCTCATTAATTCAGTCATAATTTATTGAAAGAATGGCCATCAAGTGGCTAGCAACTCTGATTTTTATTTTAGTCTTCTAAACAAAGCCCATACAAACTTCTTGTTTGTACTGCCTCCTTTTCCATTTCACTGACGTGCATTATTTTCATAGATTTAAATTAAATATTTGATATTACTGCTTTTTCTGTAGAAACTATTTTGATTAGTTTGTATTTTTTGAGTTTGTTTCATGTCCAGTATTTATGCTATGTTTGTCTGTATTGAATATTGTATAGTCCCTGACAATGGTGTTTAGAACCAATGCCAGACAGTAAAAGCAATTTAATCTTGTTTAATGGGACTATACAAATACTAATTGTTTTGTTTCCTTATCCAAGAACAGCTAAAAATATTTGTTAAAAACTATAGTATTTTTATGTGTAATTATATGGTAATGATAGCCTAGTAATTTTTGAAAATGTTAGGAATGAATTAACATAACGTTATTAAGTCCGGTATTATTTCCAGATCTAGTCTTTGGTTAAAACAAATAACTGCACTTTGTGTATTTACAGTCTCATTTATGTTTATTAGATGCTTGATCAGAAGAAAAAGGAAACTCGTGAGGAATTGTTATGTTAAATTAGTTATAAATTCTTTAAAAGACAATCTTGGCTTCATTCATAATTTTTGCAGTGTGGTGTTTGTATTTCATCCTGCTCCTCACTTTTTTGGTTCTTTATCCTGTGCTTTTCTCTACAACTTAAGTGTTTATTTTTGCTTTGTCAAGTTAGCACTGATGGTTTTAGATACAAGAAATACCAATGATAGTATGTTTTTAGGCGTGAAATATTACCAAGAAAATCTGATTCACCAGCATTGTGTTTACTTTAGGAAAAACACAATCTTGGTATGTGTGTATTTTTTACTTTTGTGATTTCTAACCACAGAGCAAGTAACTTGCTGTCATACATATAACCTGCATCTCGACACACTCAGTTAAGAGTAGCTTCCTGATAACAGATAATTCAGTAGCTAAGATATTTGTGTATCTAATAAGCTTTCCATCTCTTCAGAAAAGCTCCTGTGTTGGGGGATAGGGGTGGGTTGAAATACATGAAAAAAGGAGGGAGAGAATTACCCATACTGTTCAAAATTGGAGTTTATTTCTTATTTTCATTTACAGATAATCTGCAGGTTATATGTGTGCAAATATAGTAATAAAGTGTGACAGTTTTAAATGCTGAGCAGTAGTCCTTAGCTTGTTTTACTGAATCAGATGACTGAATATTTCATTGCATAGATATTAAAGAAAATAAACATAATCAGTAAATCTTTCAGAGTTTTTATTTCAAATCAAAGGATACAAGTTGCCTTTGTGATTTTAGTCCCGATCATGTGTTATATAGCTACTGTTGTAATTACATGTACAGTCTCCTCACAATGGTTAGGAAAGGAGATTTAGTTACTCTGAAACTCTCAAAAAGCCAGATTTTATTTTTTTACTTTTTTTGAAAAGCTGATAATGATAGTAGATACTTGACTATAGAGTAGTCTGGCAGATAGGCATTGTTCAACAGCGTGGAATTAATGGTGACTTTGCAGCCCTTTTTAATAAGGGCTGAAAATCTAATTATGTAGAAACATTCTGTGGAAAGCTGAGAAGGTAGATCTATATTGAAATCATAGGCAAAACTCCTAATAACAAAAAAAGACATTATATGTCATAGGAAAGAATTGCAAGCATAGATCATGAAGTCCTTGTATTTTGAATTTTTTTTTAATTCGTGTTGACAGCAGAAAAAGATCTTTAGATCAGGGGTTTTTTGTCCAAATGCTAAAAAACCCCCACTGCTAGTCATGTAAAAAACAAACTCCAAAATACAGCCGCTGCCCCTGACCCAGATTAAACTGTGATGCTCAGCATTTTTTTCTGAAAATAAAAATTATGGGGATAATATCACTGTTTTCAATTACTATTTTATATGTTTTTAAATTGAAGTTTGATTACAAATTATATGTTTGTTTGAATGTCCTTTGTGCTGATATTCTTCAGGAATGGGCAGTGGGAGTGCTGGAAAAGAAGGGGGGCCATTTAAAACTCTTTTAAGACAACAGACTCAGTCAGCTCTGGAACAAAGGGTAAGGCATTTTATACTTACGTTTTTGGTCTCCTGAAGTGAAAATTTAGCTAGTATGAAGTTAAATGTTTCCTGTTACTTTCTGGTTTAAAATATGTGTACTATTTAGGTCTAAAACCTTATTGCCAATGTTGAACATTTAATAGCTCTTTTATACACAAATTATTTAAATTTGAATGTATTACCAAAGCGTTAAGAATAAGTGGAGCAAATAACTGTAATGTGCATAGCACTCAAGTGATTACAGCTGGTGTTATAAGAAACAGTTACAGCAAAAATTACTGCTATTTAGTCTGTGTAAGTTACTGATGCGTGTGGAAGTTTAAATACATGATGGTAAAGTATTAGTTAAGTTTTTACGGAAGCCAAATTCAGAAACATTGGAATAGCTTTAAACAATGTGAAAATCACATCTATATTTGCAAAAACTTTCAGTTTTGAAAACTGGAGTTGCTGCATAATTTAACCTTTGTTCTGCTACATGAAATGGTGTGCATGTAGCCTTTACAAAATGGTAACTTAAATAAACCTAAACTATTTCCCAAGCAATAAAAGGGTTCTATGGATGTACAGGTTTTTGAAGAACCTCTGTAGGACTAAAAATGCCATCTGTTGGTATGCTGGATAGACTGTATAATGAAAATAGTGGTTTTAATTCTTTGTTAAAATTTTGGAATGAGTCCTTGTGCTTTTTTTGTAGATTATGTACTGCTTTTGTCAAATTGTTGTTAGGTGACTTGAAGGAAGAAATGTAAATGTTTTCCTATCCAGAAATAAATTCTAGTTTAGTTACAGTTTCTGACTACCTGAACTATTTACATAGAACCACAAACATTTGTTGAAAACAAAATCAGCTACCTCTATGAAATGTAAGTGAATAGCTACTACTTGGAGTAAGTGGATGATTCTCTTCTCATTTTTTGTTATCCGTTGCTAAGGGAGGATCGCCTCATAGGTTCTGTAGAAGGCGGGTATGTTCCGAAACATTGTGTGACCCTTTTTGTAGCCTTTTTTTTTTTGTATTGAGGATTTCTAAACAATTATTTGAAATTTTTTGATTTTTCTTTTTTGTGAAGTTCTGCATATTTCTTTGTAATCTTGTTTATACAGCATTTTTTTATATTTGTTCTGTTATTTTTTAAGAGCATTTATCAGATCAGTGTATTTTTGCTTAGTATTTTGCATGTTGATGCATTTCAGTTAAAAATTTAGTTTCTCTTGAAATGCAAATCCATGGCATTTTGCTTTTAATGTTTTAGTTTGAAAAAATGCTTTAAAAAGATCCTTTTCTCTGTTTACATTTGTTTCTGCTAGCGTTTCAGATGCTTCCTGGCTGTTATTTCCCTAGGAAGCTTTTTAAAAAACACTTAATCTAAATTAAGAGCACTTAATGAATTTTTAGAGCTTGAATTATTTGCACATTGTTCTGGTAAGACCTGCATATTGTTTAGTGGAAAAAAAATACTGTAAAATGCGGTGGAAACATGTTGAGTCTGTTATTGATGATGATGATGTAGCAAAGCATGCAGACTGTTGATACAAAAATATGTTCATACTGTTTTTCTGAAAATTTCATATTGGATGTGGTTTTGCTATGGTTGCATCTTATGGTTACCTTAAGGTTGAATTACCTACCTAGGATGAATAACATTTCTAAGTTATTTTGTCTGTTTCAATATTGCACATAGAAATAGTGTGCTCTACTTACCTGTCTGGATTAGTTAGGGTAGCACTTATTTGGGAAAACAAAGAATAAATTCCATATGTATAATATGTTTCCACGTGTATAAGATACACAGTAAGTTCTTTTGAGTCTTAATTCAGTTCATTTGCCTATCTGGTAATGCAAAGGCGTATTAAAAGCGGTTCATTTAACTGGATGTCTTCACAGCATTTTTTTAATCAGATGTATTTTTAATGTGTCACCTTAGTTGCAATCCAGAACTGATTTTGCTGAAAGGGTAGTCGGGCTTAATTTCCTCTGGGAAAATACACCAGCCATGGAAAATACACGTGTTAAGTTTTACATTAATATATTTTTAGCATTTCACCTGGATGCCTGTTGATAGCAGGTGTAACAACATGACAGCTATCTTTCTGTGTGTATTTTTATCTATAAATGTATACGCTGAATTTACATCAGTGGGAAAACTTGAGTTAATAAAAAATCAGCCTGTGTTTTTGTAGAAATGGCCAATTGCTGCTCTTGATGGTATTTTGTATCTCTCTTGACCTCTACTTGGACAAATGCCATTATTCCTCCATGTTTGCATTCTGCAAGTGCTTGAGAGATCTTTTCTGCTGTCTTTTGAAAATGGAAATCCGTTGATCTTCATCTCTGAGCACTGCTAGATACTGTTATGTTAGAGTGCAGTTGTCTGTCTGATTCTTTTGGCTGAAATGCCGACTTAAGCAACTTTTCTTTCCAGTGACGACTTCTTAGTATCCAGCCCATCCCCTCAGTTCAGTTGAAGAAAAAATGTAAGGTTGTTTGGCCGCCTTGTGAGATGGCACAGTAAATGTGCTTAGAATAAAAATAATCCAACCATGCAATTAACAGTATTTTAATATGGACCAGTTCCCTAACTCTGGTTCAGCCCCATAAGCTCTGAATGTACATGAGCATTACGAGCGTTGTCTGAGGGAGTGGTACAACGATGGGAATGGGTGAGTGGCTGGAAGGGAATCTGAGAACTGCTTCAGCTGGCACTGACACCAAATGATGTGTGTGCATAGCCTTGTTCCATTTGCTTTTTCATTATTTTGTGTGTCTTTGTATGGAATGTGGTTAAAAAAGAATACTAGCAATACATGTATGCATATACACAAATATTTTTAAATGTTGTATTAAACAAATATTATGAGGATTTTATTGTAACCTTATCAAACTTTCCCCAAATGCCAACTATAACATCTCTGTGTAATTGCAAGGATTAAACCAGTGGCTGTTCTTTGAAGGTCTGTGCAGTCAATGACTATGAAATGGAGTAGTGAATTGATATGGAAATACTCTGTGCTTGCATCACCTTGATTTAAAGATAGTCCTTTGCAAAGTGCAGTAATAGAGGAGATTTGTAATGGAAACACTGCTTTTCATTCTTACGGAATCTCTATTTTTGTGCAAATTATAATTTATATTTTTTGAAGTATGACAGATCACCACATGTAAATGAGGCTAGAACTTGTATTTGAGTAATGTAATAATAAAAAACCTCAAACCTCTAAATGAGTTCGAACAAGAAAAGCCATCATACCAAGTGGTGGAATTCCACCTGTGTCAGAATGAGTGAGACATTGTTAATGAAATCAGAGCATGTCAGAATGATTCGATGAGTCAGTTACCCAGATTTGCCTGTGGCTGTAACTGGGAGGACATAGGTTAATTTCATCATGTATCATAATGTAAACTTGCAAGTATTGAACTATTGATTGAGATAAAACCATGTTATTAGTTTAAAAGTCTGAACGTATTAAAATTACTTACAGTATGCAGCCTTATGTAAATAAACAAAAAATTTAAAGTAATCTCTGGACCTCCAGATAGATGAAAAGCATCGCGTTTGCTTAGCTTTAGAGCGTGGAGGATCGTTCACTTTGTTCGTTGCGTACTGTTTTAGCACAATGTAAGTGTGAGTGTATATATATGTTTGTATAAAATATGAATATAGCATAGGCTTAGTGGAGTTTCATATACGTGGCGTATGCGGTAGACTTTATTGATTTCTACAGTTCAGGGAAAGCTAATTATTGTTAACATTGTTAACGTGGGACAACCATATTCAAGGGAGAGAGCAAATGTGTATGTTTACATGTAAGTTATGCAAAGTGAGTGTCATGGAATTATAGAGGGACAGATATTATCAGTATACTTGTGAATCACTGAACAGTTGATACTACAGAGCCACAGTGAAAGAGGATTCTAACAAAGTGTGGATGTACTGCATTTTTTTCCATTTTTCGGCATGAAAGACATGTACAGCAAAGGAGTTCAGACTGTGTTGTTGTCAGAGCTTTCTGCCTGTTTTGATAACATGCAAAGCAGTTTTGTGATCTGTTAGAACTTTCTGGGGAAGCTTTTGTGTAGCCCCTCTAGAGATGCATCGGTGCTTCTGAAGACAGATTAGTCAAGCAGGCTTTGCAGAGTCCTGTGGTGAAATCTTCCTGCTTTTGGATTGCGTCGTAAGGCACAGCTGCAGGTTTTGGTGTTTTTTGGGGGTTGTGGGATTGTTTTTTTTTTTTGCTCCTGGTTGTTGGTACTATGGTTGCCGATTTAAAAGTTTGCCTCTTGATTTTGAAACTCTAAGCCAAATGAAAATCCAGAAATCTTGAAGTTTGTACGACCTTTCAAAAGTTGTAAGGGTACTAACAACAAGGGTGGTTAAGAATTCTGGAGTGGTAATTTTTAAATCTACATTGGGCTTGAGTTTAAGAGGACTTTTCATGCCATGTATTGCTGGAAGAACCATGATCCTCATTTAATCTGCAGCATGTGCACTGTTTAGGTAGAAGCTCAGTTAAACTGTACTGTTGCAAGTGCTTCAATTATGTGAGAAAGGAATCTATGCTGTACTTTCTCTCATAAAAAAATGTTTATTTTATCCATTTAACCAATCATCGTGACTATACAAACCATGATTGCATGATTTTTTCTTTTTTCTTTTTATAGAATTGCTGAGCATAAATCTGTTGCCTTTCCCCCGTAAGTGTGCTATCACATGTATATTGGACATTCCATAGAATGTCTCTGTAGAAAATAAAATCTTCCAGTTTTGGGCTCACCTCTTTTGACTATGACTGTCTTATTTCATCACGTGTGTCATGAAAAATTGCTGTTTATCACTTACTTTGCCTCTTGTATGAATTGCTGTTTTGAGTAGTTGCTGAAACTTACTATTTCTTCAGTTTAATTAAGAATTGGTAAACACTAATTTATGCAAGGAAATTGGAAGTGAATTTCCTTACTTTTAAGAACTTAGTGGTATTTCAAAGACTTGTGCTTTATTCTAGAAGATGGATATTTACTTGTGACATTTAGAGCATACAACACTAGCAGAGCAGTCGGCTAATATTCTTTGGGTATGTTTTCCTGTAATAAAAGATTCATCATTCTTGCAAGACTACAGTTTGTTTTACCCTGTACTTCAGAATCAAACTGCAGTCAGTTGTAACAATAACACCCAAAAAACAGAGAAAAATGTTCCTTTATTTTGTATCAGATAATGAAAGTAGAATTATGTTGTTTAACTGCCATCCTAAAAGTGGACCAATAGAGGCGTTAACACAAATGTGTCAAGTTTTTGATTATTTATTAATATTGTGCTGAGATGCAACTCTACGGGGAAAGGTATTCTTACATCGTATAATACCTCTGCTTTTATTATACTATGGGTTTATGAAGACATATGGTTACGCAGTGCTCAGTACGCCTGAAGGGCATGCGTGGCCTAATGTAACTGCTTTGCTTGTATTTCAGGGAAATTTGTCAATTCACTGCATGTTTATTTGGCAGTGAGCAATGATTGGTAAGCAGTCATTTGATGTTTGTTTTTAATTATAACAGGAATTTCCATTTTTTACCTTGACGACCTTCCCACCAGGCTTTCTTGTCCATGTTGGCGGTGTTGTCAGTGCACGGTCTGTGAAGCTTCTGGATCGCATTCACAATCCTGGTATGTTAACACAAGAACAACTTCCTTGCCTGAGTCCGGTTGTAATGATCACATACTTCTAATCTTTATAACTTTATGACATATCAATATTTGATTAGATACAAATCTATTCTAACAACTTATGTTAAAAGCAGTATTTTTCAGACAATCATTTAAGCTTGAAAAATAGTAGTCTTTCAGAGGGTATGTTTTTAGTGAGAAACTTTTCAGCAAGTTAATAAAATAATAAGGTACTTTGAATCTAGTAACTTTGCACTAAAACCTCTTTGAATTAATGAGGGTTTAATTATTTTTTTACCACTTTTTAATGTTAAAACTTTATGCAGGTTTTCCATTCAAAGAAAAATGAGATTAAATACTTGATCTTAACTGAGTGTTTTTTAATTTTCAGCTCCTTGAAATCCTTAAGGACTAATGACTATGATTTAGCTCAATACATGTTTTTAACCTCTTTTGATAAAACCTTTACAGCTTTGTTTCTGTTCTTAAAAAAGTTTACTAAACAGTACTTTTAACATTTTTATTTAATATTTACCTGAGAACCCCAGTACTGGAACATGTGTATTTTGCGTGTCCTAGTCCTGGTATCAGAATTAAGTGACTTTTGATGCTGAAGACTTTGTTGTTACATTCACTGAGACAAGCTGAGGAATACTCTAAAAAGTTGGAGTTAACAGCGCACTTAAAAATGCAGACAGAGGAGAGGAAAAAATAGCACTTGTAGTGGTTTTGCATGCACTAGTCAGGAGTAATAAAACAAAGCTTGTGCAAATGCATCTTCAAAATCAAATTAAAAAAACCCACAAGACTTTATTCCTTTTCTTCTTCCTGTGGCCCAAGACAAGTAATTCTGCAGCAGGTAAAATGTTGCTGATTTAAAGATTCAGTGCACTGACAACATGAAATAAAATCCAAGACTTAATTTGTATTTAAAAAAACTACTTTAAGGATTTTTTTAAAAAAACATGTGAGTGCACAATATTGTTCTTTTTTTTCCTATTTTTAAGATTTTTTTTACACAGTGGAGAGAAGATTAAGAGAAATGTCAAAGTATAATCTGTATGTGAGTGCTCCCTTCCTTTGCCACAAAGTTGTCTGAGGCTTCTATATTTTCAATAGATTTCTGAGACAGGGCACTTCTGTGCAAAATTTACTGTGTGATAAATTTATTTAAGACAAAATGAGAAAAAAAAATCAGTTGTAAAAACTAATTTCTTGCATTATGCCCTCCTGTATTTTTACCAACTGACTGAAAGCAGGATGAGACAGAAGAGGAGACAGAGATGCATATTTGCGCAACTAAGTGGCTTTTTGCAATGTTTTTGTGGGACTAGTAGATTGCTCCTGACAAGTGAATGTAAGATGCATGATACTTTGAACTCAGTATATTGCAAAACAGTGAAAACAAAAGGAGGAATGAAGGCACATGGCTGTGGGAGGGAAAGTGAAGAAGCAGCAAAAAAATTCTGATGCTGTGGTGATTGTACTAAGCATTTGAGTCAGTTAAGTCTGTAAAATACTAAAGGAAACAAATAAACCAGCAAATGAAAAAATGGGAAAATGTAGAAGAGGAAAGATCATTTGAAGGTGGACTGAGAACTTACTGATAAGTCATTAATTGCTATATACTGTACACTTTGATCACACCTAGTGCTAGATTGCTATAGCATGCTCCTTTTTTCCCTTTCTATTTCAGCCTCTTATTAACTCTGCTGTCTGTGTCTTTCCAGTTCCTGTGGAGTGGTGTTGTCAATTGTGTTCTTGTTGGTAGTTTTTTTTTTCACTATTCTGCTCCTATAACTGATCTACTAATTTGCTGTTTTGAACTCAGCCTTTGTCGGAATTATGGGTAACACAAGATCATACAAACTGCTAGACTGGAATAGTTTCAATTCAGGTATTTTACTAGTCATTCAGTACTACATATGCTGACAGAAATTATGGCAGCTCAGTGAAGTTCTTAGAAATGCTGTAGGATGTTTAGGTTAATGCTTCAAATTTAAATCTTTTTTCTTATAAAATGCCGAAATGTCTTGTTTTAATGTTGTTAAAGGCTTTCGTTAAAATTGCAAAACACTGTTTTAGTAGAAAATAGTATTGCTAAGAATAATTTAATACCAATCTGGAAAGTTGAATATTCAGACGATTATTTTGTAGTAGCTTTCAACTCAGTGAACATGAAGCAAGTAATTTAGGGA